CATCGTCCTCCCAGACTGTTTTGACGCCAAGAAGATGTTTCAGCCATAGATTTTTTAATCTATGTTTCAGCATAAGCTCTACCAGACATCAAAGCTAAAGCATCATCCAACAATGTAAAGGGCTCTTCACTTGAAACTCCGCACTAGTGATTCACACGAGACCAACGAGACGAGACTTTCATAAAGTCTCGTCTCGTCTCGCCGATGGAATATGAAGTCTTGTCTCGAGTCTCGTCGTCTCGCAGCCTGGAGTCTTGTCTTGTCTCGCGTCTCGTACGAGAGTCTCGCAAATGTATCGCAATTTCGTCATGCATAATCTTGTTCCAGTCTAATACGGGATATTTATCTTCACCTACTTTGTATGTATAATATAGAGGTAGGAAGAGAAAATCACAACAATAATAACATTATTTATTGAAACTTTTCGAGGCAGAAATTGTTAGGTACGTACAGCCTACAACTAAACTTTATTTCCAGACCAGTAAAATTGTACATGTAACAAAGAACGGAAAAGCCTATGGCTATAGGCAAAACGATTCAAATGATGTAGAAACATAATTATTTTACTGAATTCAAAACCCAAGAACCGCCCCTCCCCAAAAACATAGGAAAATTCAAGAACACATTGAAAAACATTATGATTATTAGTTCAACCAGAAATGAGTAAAATAAATGTTATTCTTGTGAAAATCATCCGTAATCGCATTTCGTCAACCAAGAATAATGTTTATAAATCGATTTATATTTTCGACGCGTCGCGACGCTCAGCCCTTAGTGGGCTGTGAATTTGTTAAACTTCGATTAAAATCTACTCGACCACATCCTTCGACTACTTCTCACAGAAAATAAATGTTTCTATTCGTTTCGAGAGTTTGAAGTGAACAACTATGTATATGGTCTAGTCATCGACCATATATTTGAAAGACTCACTCCTATGAAAGAAAATACTCATCTCATATTGTTGTAATCTTTCCTTTTAGTACATGGGAAGAAAAGGTTCTGTAAATGGTCACAGTGATCACTTAGAAGGTTTGAAAAGGTGGTGAACCAAAATAACTAGTGGGTAGCTTTTCCAGTAGACGTTTATTCACTTCGAGGACGATGGTAAATTTCACAAGACAATCACAGAGTGCTCAGTACAATGAAAAATAAGTTAGTGATGTTGACTCAAGAATAGTTGCGTTCTATCTAACTAAAACATGGCTTCCCTGAAGGCATATAATTTTATAGACGAAAGTTTTGATAATCTACTGTCGTGAGAAACGAAAGATAAAATACAATTTATAAGGGCACAATTTAGTATACTCTATACTTCTTTCCATTATAAACTGCTGAAGTTGATTTTGCTGAGACTGAACTTAGATACTCGAAGTAAGTTTTGAAATGGATATTTCACAAGGTATCAAGTGAAGTTTCGTGAGCTTTCAATGCTACGTGATTGATAAGAATTATAGTTTCAAGTGTCTACTGAGAATATCTGATTATATTATATTTCAAGCAACTACGAATGATAAGAAAAAATCCACAATAATTCTACGAACAAAATAATATTGAATAATTATATGAGGGTTTACAACAATATCAAGGACTCAAATGTTATTTTTGATGCAGAATCGGACTGTACAATACAACTTTTAGGATTGTACAACATATCCGATCAGGATTATTTATCTGAATTTCATAAGTAGTATATTCGAATATGTTTTGCAAGTGTCATTTATTGGAACCTTATTGATTCACATGTCGTGTATTCTTGAGAATCAATTTACCATGAATCGCATTGCCAATTTATATGTAGTTGTTAGACACAAATCTATATCCTTCACTCAAATGAAAGTTTTTGTTTCTGATCCTGAAAATTAATCTGGAAATCAAGCGTCCGAATTTTGAAAGTAACAGATCTGTTACTGTCTACCCAAAATACCTATACGTAATTATCTTGATATTAGCAAGAATTGGATGAGTCATATTTAAGTACCGGTAGCTTGCAATTTTGATGTTGATATACTAAATTCGCAGATATTCAATTGAATAATAGCACGAGAGAAGGTAAACTGGTCATACAGAGCACGTTATCATACAGGGTGTTGAATTACTAATTATAAAATATTTCAACTAAATGATCCTGAACTCAGGATATGAAGATATAACCTAAATCACCCGGATAAAATGTGTCTTCTGTCCTAACTAGAGGGTGTTTCATTTGGATATTCATACATTATTTTTTGTGCTCCTGTCGAGGCTCTAATGCTTTGAAACTATCTGAGTATAATCGTCATATTCGGCGGAAAGTGTTGACAATATAAAACTCAGAACATAATGTCAAATAGACGTTTCTGGTTATTACTATTACTCAAATTCTACGCCACTGGCGGAATTGCTTTTTTCAATTTTTCTTTATTTTTAATACAGTGTGTCCCACTTTGAGCAGCACCACCTTGGTAATTTCTTAATCGCTGACAGATTTAAAAAATTTCGTGTTTCAACATGATTAGCTGGGCTGGTGGCCGTGAGCGTAGAGTCGCTGGCTGTTGCCCAGGCGGTCCGGGTTCGATCCCCGGCGCGAGCACTGAATTAATTTTCGGTAGTTTCGTTGGGCGGGAGGAGATAGGTGGCCAACCCAACATTCTTGGTACCTAGATATCAATCCTTTGGACTGTCCACGGTTACCAGCCGAGTAGTGCTTCGGATGACACTTAAAAAGCTAAGGTCCCCGTCTTCTTAACTCACACAAGTCTCTGACTTTCGAGGGTTGCTTTGCAACTAAGCTGGCGGTTAAAAACACTTTTAAACACTTTAAACATGTACTTCTCAACGAGTTCTACGTTTCTGAGTATCCAACACTCCGATTGCGCTACGACACGGCCAACTATGATAAATTGAAAATGCCTAAAATCAGTTAGTGATATCAGGAATTTTTTCAGCGGAAAACTGACATACTTAACATGTTGAGAACTCTCTCAAATACATGTGGTCAAATTTTCATGTTGATATCATATACAGGGCGTTATTTATTGTCAATTAATTTTTGATGCTTGAAAATAATGAGGAAAGTATAATTAACATCATGATTTCGTTCAGATACCACTTAAAAACACATGTTTCATTATGACCTAATACACAGGATGATATTATCCCCATTCTCAAGGGTGTGAAGAAATTTTGGTTCGAATGGAATAACTTTCTCATTTCTCAAATGCCTCCAAATTTTTGATTTTGGAATGCCGAGAACAAGAGAGGACTGTCTAAGACTACTTGTCGGATTATCATTGAAAAAATTTGAAATATCTCTATTATCATTTCTTTGCCGCCCACGTCCCCTTCTTTTTGAATTCAACACAGTGCCCAAGTTATTGAACATTCTACTAATCCGACTCACCGTCGTGTGGTTGATGGGATCTTGATCTTGATTTCTCCTATTGAATTCAATAGCTGCTGCTCTTGATGACCTGGTATCGTCACCAATAATTTTAATGATCTCTATTCTTTCCAAGAAAGTGAGCTTTCGTTGCATTGGCATTGCTCTACAAACACTTTGATAAAAACCTGCTCATTCAACAACAATTTGTCAAGTTATTTGAAAATATGAATATCGCGTAATTTCCATATAGCCATCCTGACGGCTCCCTCATTTTTTATGCCTGAGCGAAAGATAGTTTGAATAGAGATAATTAAAAGTTGCGTTTCCACGGCAGACTTGATCATCATTTTGTGAACTTCTTGGGTCAAAATTGATGAGATCGGTATATTTTTTGTGGTAATACCATCAGTGAAACTTGATAAAATATTCCTTGTCATCCTGAACTCAAGGGTAGGTATTTCAAGACCTTGATGATTTCGTCTTCATCATGCAATTTGTGATGAAATAACTATAGTTGAAGCCTTATCGGCGAATGAAGAAACCTAAAGAAAATTGAACCATTACTTTTTGAAGTTAAGTACGTGCCTTTTGGGGAAAAAACAGAACATATGAAAATTGAATTGAAATATCAATACATACGTCACCCTGTGTATAAGTCATGAAGAAAAGTATGAAACAGGTGTTTTTATGTAGTATCTAAGTGAATTCATGATGGTATTATATTTTTTTCATTATTTTCAAACATTAAAAGAATATTGACAATAAATAACGCCCTGTATATGATATCAACATGCAAATTTGACCAGATGTATCTGAGGGAGTTCTTAACATGTTGAGAATATCAGTTTTCCGCTGAAAAAATTCCTGATATTACTAACTGATTTTTTCATCATAGTTGGCCGTATCGTAGTGCAATCAGAGTGTTGGATACTCAGAAATTTAGAACTCATTGAGAAGTACATGTTGAAGTACAAAATTTTTGAAATCTGTCAGCGATTAAGAAAATACCAAGGTGGTGCTGCTCAAAGTGGGACACACTGTATATATAATTTTTTTTCATTTATTGTTTCATCAATTTTTCGATTCTTCAATACCATCCTCGTAAATATCGCACTTTTTCTTCATAACAATAAATTCAGGAATTCATGTTTTCCGTAGAAATTATTGAGAAACGTTCAAACAACTCAAATCAATCTGTTTCAAAACACAGTAACTAGGATTTTATCGAACTTCTGAAGGTTGAACAACTGAGTTCTGGTAGAGAGTTGATCGACAAATCTCTAGGTTGATGTAAAAGGAATGTGCTGACTCAGCTGGTTGAGTTAGATTGACTGGTAATGCTTTTGATTTGTTTAAGAAATATAGCAAGAATTTCTGAAGAATATTTCCCAAGAGATTATCTAGGAAAGTGAAAGATATCCAGCTTCATTCGAGGTATTCCAAAGGAGTTATTGATGTTTGATACAGTCATTCCTCTGCTTTTTCATTCAGGTTTTAGAAGACAGTGGAATAATAATACGTAACATGGTCAATATATTCAGGAATAAATACTTTCTGAATAGTATTTTATCATCCCATGATAAATTAGAGTAGGGGGAATTTAGTTTTGACCCCATAGTCCAGAAATGCAATGCAGTAATAATAACTATGAATAATTAAATAAACGAGACGGACTTAACTACAAATGGAACAAGGTTAATTTGTCTTCTCCTGAAAGAAGAAAATTGCAGTTTCTTCTTGTACTTCCAATATAAGACACAGTTTAGTGAAGTTGTTATTCAAATTTCATTCTGTCAGTCGGTAAGTACTTTCTCATCACCCTGTTCCTATTTTATTTCATGTATGGTTCAATCCGTGTATAACCCTGAAATCTATTTCTAAAAAATATAATTTCGATTCGATAGGCAACTATATAGGCCAATTAGTTTGCTGGTTGAATCTTTTTTTTTTCAAGTTTTCAATGAGTGAACATTTGATGAATTCAGCAGTAAATGTTTTTGGATCAGTCATCATCAGCCTATAATGGGTATAGTTACTTATGGCAAAGTTATAGTACTTTGGTACATATTAGAGGCGATAGTCTGAAATAGTTTTGCTCGTGTATGACAGTCAATAGATAGTCTTTAAGTCGAGGATTTGAATGAATGAAAAGCAGCTGGACTGAAAATAGGGTGACAATTTCAGAACGAGCAGCACTCTATATTTCTTTAACTGATGGCATTATGAACATTTGGCGTCACACGTCAATTTATAAATGAAGGGGAACAACACTTGAGGTATTCGTTGTTACATTACATTGAACCCCTTCACCGTTAGGACATCTACCTCCGAAATTTCGAATAGCAACCCCTAATTATTTCGCTATGTTTGAAATCCTTATGTGATTTCAGATGAGTTGTACCTATTTTCATTTTTGTGTCATCAAAATCGCAGTACTGAACCTCACCAATTTCCGGATTGTAATTTATGATGATGATGAAAAATTATATACTGACCCAACTGAATACTTTATTCATGTTATAAATGCTCCATTGTTTTCTGAGTATAATAATTACAGGCGATATTCCAGAGACCATCCAGAAGGTCCGCGAAAAGTTTGAATATGGGCTGTTCTTTTGCTCACAAAACATTGGAGACCAGAATGAGTTGTCTGTACAGGGTGGCCAACTAAGACTCCAGAGTTCGATTTCTCTGTTGTCATGAGAGATACAAAAAAAATTCATGAATCAAAATTGAAGTAATAACCGAGCTCCACATTTCAAAATTTCTTTGAAATACACAGGGTGTTCCGTAAGGTCACAGCACATCGAAGCTATGTTTTTTTCATCGGAACACCCTATATTTCATTACATTTTTGAATTCTCCCTGAAGATCTGATTTCAACGACCCATCATACTTAGGATCTAGCAGTGAAAGTCACTGACATATAGGGTGTGCAAAATCGAGATTTTCCAAGTTCAGGATTTTTTTCTGTCGAAACTGTTCATTATTCGTCAAAACGGTTTACATGTCCCTATCTCAACTTTTCACTCACTATCAATTGGTGTTCAATTGAAATTGATACAAGGTGGTCAAAAAATCTAAATTTATAATTTGTTACAATTAAAATGTCAATTGAACACCAATTGACAGTGAGTGAAAAGTTGAGATAGGGACATGTAAACCGTTTTGACGAATAATGAACAGTTTCGACAGAAATAAATTCTGAACTTGGAAAATCTCGATTTTGCACACCCTATATGTCAGTAACTTTCACTGCTAGGCCCTAAGTATGATGGGACATTGAAATCAGATCTTCAGGGAGAATTCGAAAATGAAATAAAATATAGGGTGTTCCAATGAAAAAAACATAGCTTTGATGTGCTGTGACCTTACGGAACACCCTGTGTATTTCAAAGAAATTTTGAAATGTGAAGCTGGATTATTAATTCAATTTTGATACATGACTTTTTCTTTGTATCTCTCAAGACAACAGAGAAATCGAACTCTGAAATCTTAGTTGGCCACCCTGTACATCAGTTATTTCATCATCATGATGAATTACAATCCGAATACTCGTACTGCAATTTTGAAGACAAAAAATGTAAAATAGGTGTAACTCATCTGGAATCACAAGGGGATTTCAAAAATAGCCAAATGATTTCAGAGGTAGTTGCCCTGACAATGAAGGGATTGAATGTGATGTAACAAAAAATACCCCAAAATTTGTCCCTCCTGATATTTTAATTGACTTGTTTGCTTAATTTTCATAGTGTCATCAGTTAAAGAAATATTCAATGCTGCTCGTTTTTGAATAGTCACCCTGTATATTGCCCATCTCGTTCGTCAATAACTTGAGTCTATATATGTGTACAATCTGAATGAAGTTGAAATAGTGAAAAAAACCGATTACATGAACATGATTGCATACACAGGGTGTTTCTTAAATACGTGTAGAAAATTCAGGAGCATGTTGCTGACGTCAAAATGTGAAGAAAAATTCGTATAAATATAGGTCCGAAAGTTATTCGTTTCTGGGATGGAGAGTGTCAAAGTTGAATTTTTATCTTTGTTTTTTGTTAATTTTCAAAATAATTGTGATATTCGAATGAAATTTGGTATCTAGGCGTACTTTTCAACGACAATATCAAATTTTATGTTAGTTTCCCTCTTTCGTGGGGGTGGCGCAACCTACATATATTTCGAGTTATTTGGAAAGTCATAATTTTTCGTGCATACCTGTATCACGTTTGTTAGTAGAAAAATAGATTTGCAGAACACGGTTTTGTAAAACATATATTCTTGGTAGAGGTCGGTGCGTGCAACTGTTTTTGAGTTATTGGGATTCGAAATAATCGTTGCATCTGAATTATTTCCATGGGGCTCGTAAAATTTTGCGCAATTTTTCTCGTGCTTGTCTGTGGATCTTCTTCGATTGCCTGAAAAACAGCTTCTTCGATTTCTAGAGTCCCATAGTAGTAAACGGTCTGCCTATCACTAGAGTTTTTTCAAAGGATCCATCAGACTCCTATCCAGACTCCTTAAGACACTGAAAAAGGTTTCGGAATGTCTGATGATTCGGCAGTCGATGATTAGGGAATCTTTCATTTGATTGTTATTTTTTTCAATTGGAAGAGTCCAAAAAAGTGGGTACAAAGAAGTAAGGATTATTTTTGCTGATATTCCAATGCATAGTTACAGATGCGTGTGTTGACACCAGGGTGTTTGAATCAGTGAGGGTATGGTCGAACAGTTCATTAACGAATTCTCACAGATTTTGACACCAGAGGCGAGCAGTGTTAAAACTAGTGAACATTTGAAGTGGGCATACATTTACAGGTGCCAAATGATGTTGACACCGGTGTTGAATTTGGCAAACACTTGTTGCACATAAGTAAAGTGACGTTGGATGGAAGTTTCAAAGTGGTCGCGTTTGTTTGTGATTTTCTGGTGTAGGCATTGTGTGGGATTGAATAAAACGGAAAAGAATGAAAAATGACATTGTTGTGACGACAACCGTGTGAAAACCACATGAAATCAGAATGACATAATAATCATCAATAAACCTTATAGCGTATTCGACTGGTTTGCACTGACAACGGTATAGATGCGTATTTAGCACTGCACATACTTCGGACAGAATTCATTTTGTTCGAACCAATCTAGAGCAGATGCATGTCGATAATTCGAATCATTCTGGTACTGTATGGATGGAGTTCAATATTGACATTATGTATAGACGACTGGTATGTTGAGGACAACGTGCTGTTGGATCCTAAGGCTGGATCAAACAAGATCTAATCAAATACCTCAATTCAAAATTGATGCATTGTCTAATTATTTCTTGAACTCCGAAATATGTCGAGAATAATTATTTGCGGCATGATAAGTTTAGAAATATTTTGTGAATGATCAAAGGTTTCGATGGTGTATAGATGGAATGTTGTCATTTGCTTCAAAAATCTGGTATTCCAATATCACATTGCAATTTCTGAATACTTATCATTAATTTTCTGCTTTTCTGTTTTATCCTATTCCGATTTCATAAATTCAGAAATATCATTATTGCTATATTATCGACTGATAGCTACTATCACTGTTGCTCGACAATAGGGAATCAATTGCTAGTCGTTTATAACATTCATTTAGGAATCTGAACATAACAATGTAAATCATTTCCCAATATCTTTCAGCATTTTTCAGCCCGTGACTTTGGCACCGTCAAAAATTATTGTGTTAAAATTTCCGAATCAACAACGAGCGCTTCTACCAATAGAACATAAATTCAGCTCTACTTTCGAGCAGTGCCTGTTAAGCCAATCAGAAATAATATTGGCACTGTCTGAGTGCATACCAGCCGAACACATACACACAGCAAAAGTTGGAATTGAATGCGCAATAGTGCAGCCAGTCGAATACACTATTAGTTACTAACGAGTAAACTCATCAGAAATATGTTTTTTTAAGTTTTATTTGAATTTGAAGCTGAAGGGACATTGGATTTCAAATAACAAATTTGTTATTCATGTTCCTCACATTGTAGAAACAAAAATAAGTTATACCTCAGTGTTGAATTTTATTCGACTTCTACGCAGAATAGGTCGTAGGGTTAATCTTCTCCATTCTCATCATATTGAAAGCAACTCCAAATTATGCAATTTTCTTACCGAATCTCCCACGAGGCAGAAATAATCCCCAATAGTTGTCTTCTCAGTTTCACTCAAAATGATTTGTCATTAACAAAAACATTCGTTACCTTGAAAAAGATTATCGGTAATAATTCTGCTGCTAGGGAGATTATAAGTGAAAACTGCCCTAAACTCTGGTTAGATAGGTACTCAAAGTATTTTGATGATGTTCTGATTGATGACTTTGGCATCATTTTAGTACTGAAAGAAATCATGACCTTCACTTCTTGGTGCTTGAATTAAACGTAAAAAAACGAGGTGAAAATTACATATAGCTTGATAGACGAAGAAAACGGTAAAGAGAATACTTAGATTAATTGTGGCAAACTGACTTTAGAATAACGTTGATGAATATGATTTCCAAAACTGGCAAATGAATATCAAATATTAATATAATTATTAAAACATACACTTTTACCACCGAGCTAGTCTCATTTGTTTTCAAAGTTTTTATACAAAACCATTCATCAACGTTTATTTAACATACTGTCGCCCTCACGAACATCGTTCATGTTAGTAGTTGAGAGAACTTTTGTGTACTGTTTAAAATCAACGTGTATTTTAGCGATATTTTTTACGTTAAATGAACGTTTCCATGAAACATAATTTCAACCGATCGTTGTGGTAATTTCACTACTTGATTTCGACGTGAGTGTGTTTACTGGGTTAGTCACTCTAGTCTTGTGGTATATATATACTAATTTCACTTTTCACAAAAATTGTTTACAAGGTTAAATGAAGTTTGCAATATTACAATTCAATTTGACATATAGGTAACGTTTCAATACCATTTTATGATTTTTTCCTGCTACCAGTAACTTTTCATTTTAGCACCCACATAGAAATCAAATCGGTCAACTCAGTCGTCGTCTTGAAGAACTGGAGATGACCATAGTTCTGAAGATCTAAATTAACTAAACCTGATTTTTCAGCATCATAATCTCCATGATGTGGCGGTTCTGTACATTATTGATATTCGGATTCCAAATATCGGTAAGTTGAATAAATCAAGCAACTCATGAATGAACCTGCATTAATAATAGTTAAATTCCAGGTGAATGGCCACATGAAAAGAAGCATAGAACTCATAGCAGCTCATGAAATGGTGTCTCAAGAAAAACTATCAGGCGACACAATACCGACATCCTATCATTTGTTCCTTCAACCCTTTCCTGCAGATGGATATTTCGAGGGAACTGTCAGAATAAACGTTATGGTCAATAATAAATCAGATGTGATCATTCTACATGCCGACCAGGACCTACAAATTCACAACTACAATATAACACAGCTGTTGCCACCTGGAAAAAAGATGGAGGGAACGTATGTATAAAACAAAAACCATCTAGCCAAGATATAGGCTGTGTCAAGTCTGTGGTTTGACCGGGCATATACGTGCAGTATGAAATATACCAGCTTTTTGAGAATATCGGTCACGTTTCAAACTTGACAACGAAGTTTCCATGTTGAATTTTGATGGGAGTCGAATCAACTATCGACCAATCGGGTATCACCACTGTGGTCGGACGCATGACTTGACAGCCATGAACTTCTTATTCTAGTATAATTTTCAAATAGTATCGACAATAAAATACGGATCACTTGCTTTTTCATATGATTGAACCAATAAGAATTCCAGTTGATTCCAGTATTCAATTGACTCACCTACTTGAGGACACTTGCATAAACCTTTTTGTTTTATGAAAGAGGATTGCTTTTCCACAGATGCAAACAGATGAAGGTTAATATCCTCAACCTGACCATTCCGTGTCAATGAGGCTTGATTTATCTGTTAGTATCAGAATTCTACAAAATTTTGCTGGATGCTATGGCTGTTAGCGCGATCAAATCATGTCAGCCCAAACTGAAGATATTCAGTCTGTCAGACAGTTTTCGAGATTGACATTATCTTGTGTAAATTGACATGTAGAGGGTGTCCCAAACTGGACGCGTTCTCATGAGAACACCCCTTATTTGAAGAGATGGAAAAAATTGACCAATGTGTCCGGAGCTCGAATTCAATGAGGAAGCAACTGTCACAAAACTTTGCTATCTCGTATCGTTTGGCCGCCAGAGGACTTTTCTCGAATTTCGTCGATTTCTTCAATGCCCCATAACTTTCTTATTATTAACGATAATTAATTCTGGTAAAAACTTTCTCAATACTTTTTTCTGTAGAATCCGTTGCGATAGGCAGCTTTTTCACAGGACGTTCAGATTTTTGTGCACCACCCCAAACTCTTATTTTTAATGTACCTTCCACCCTTTACAGGGTGATTCAAAAGTGAGCGGCACCCTTCCAGGGGCGTATTCCTCGCATGAAAATAAGGAAAGAATTTCCCATCAATAAGGGCTTGAAATTGCTTCCTAAGGGAGCTGCGCCCCTTTGAATAGGACACCTCAAAGACGATTTATTCTCTATAATCATAAAATCCTTCACAATAAATTCTTGAAGATTGATGTACGGCATGAACATTTGATGGTAAATAAGACTCTGGATTCAAAATTTCAGAATGTTCACTAGTAGTGTCACATGCGGAAAAGGTTAATTGTAAAAACATCCTTTCTTCTTTTGATATTCAAGTTATTGTGATTTACGCAAATCAGAAAGTTTTCAAAGTCAAATTTCTCCTGAATAGTACGCTCTATCGAAATAAACTAAGTGAACCTATTTCACGTGAAAAAGTCTAGAATTTTATAATTTCAAAACGAAATCATTTTAACCTGAATATTCAAAGAAGAAGAAATGTTTTTACACTTACCTTCCCCCGCATGCATGCAATTTGCAATTCAGAGTCCAAATAACTATCAGATCTTTATGCCATACACCAATTTTCGAAGATTTATTGGGGAGGATTTGAAAGTTATAGAGAAAAAATCGCAAACCAGAAAGATTTCAAAGTCAATTTTTTCCTAAATGGTACGCTCTATCGGAATGAACTGAAAAACTCTATAATCTTATAATATCAAAACGAAATTTACAAGTACCTGAATATCAAAAGGAGAAGGGTTGTTTTTACACTTACCCCCTCCCCTCCCGCATGTGACGCCCTTGTATCAAATTTTGCAATTTCCCATCTAGAGTCTCATTAATCATCAGATTTTTATGCCACCAATTTTTGTAGATTCATTGTAAAGGATTTCAAAGTTATAGAGGAAAAATCGTCTTTGAGGTGTCCTATTCAAAGGGGCGTAGCTCCCTTAGAAAGCATTTTCGGACCCTTATTAATCGGAACTTTTTGCTTCATTTTTTTGCAAGAAAATGGGCCCTGAAAGGATGCCGCTTACTTTCGGATCACCCTGTATATTATCGGATTTTTTGTAAGTTCGTAACATTTCCTGAATTTTGGTATATCATTAGTCATGTTTATCTTGAGGGCCATGAGCGAACATTTCAAAATTAAAATATCTTACCTACAAAAATCAATATGCCCATGAACAACATATTACTCAGTTATTATATTAAATGTATAAGTGATTATTTAAAACAGGAGAAAAACAACATTGACAACAACAAACCAACAATCTTGAGAAAAATACTCCACTGAGCCCTAATATAAAATGTTATGGAATTTAGTAACCGATATTGAATTAACAAGAACAAAATCAATCAATGTCAGCAAATGTTCAAATTGTCTCCCATTTCGTTCTAGGCAAATTCTGTAACTGCATCAATAAGTTCCATGTTTAGAACTTGGTTAAACGCACTTCGCAACGCTCTTTCACAATCTTGACAAAAATACTCCACTGAGCCCTAATATAAAATGTTATGGAATTTAGTAACCGATATTGAATTAACAAGAACAAAATTAATCAATGTCAGCAAATGTTCAAATTGTCTCCCATTTCGTTCTAGGCAAATTCTGTAACTGCATCAATAAGTTCCATGTTTAGAACTTGGTTAAACGCACTTCGCAACGCTCTTTCTAATTCTTCTTGGCTATTGAAAGTATTGTTTTCATATGTGAAGTCTCCATTTCTACCCCGAAGAAAACAATCCAAGGGCGTCAGATCCGATGAAGCGCAGGCTATTGCATGGGCCCTTGATTCCCCATCCAATTTGCATCAAAGTGGACATTAAGGTAATCGTTTATAATCCTTGCAGAATGTGCAGGGGCACCGTGATGCTGAAGAAGGTATCAGATTCAAAGGAAAATCTTCCAAGAACGGTTCAACCTGGTTTCTCAAAATATCCTCCCTAGGAACGCACGATGTTCTTTGAACATTATAGGGATTCCCTTTCGTGCGCTCCAAGCGATAAAAAAAAAAAAAAAAAAGAATTCAGCGGTCCATCATAATTGTAGGGTCCAATGAATTGTCCTCTAAATAGTCATACCCACACATTGGAGCCGAATTTTTCGTGTTGTTTGTTTTGAACAGTCACATGGGGATTTTCTTGGGACCAAGTGTAATCATCAAACCGATTAAATATACCCGCACTACTAATCGTCGGCCCAAATAAAATACATAGCAAACTTTGGTTCATTTTGTATTTTAGTCAAGAACCACTCACAACAACGAGTTATCCGATATAAATCTCCAGGGAGAACATGATGGATTTTGCGGGTTCGAGAAGGCTTGAATTTATTGTTTGTCAAAATTCAGTGGATTGTGCTCCTGGATATGCCAGTCTCTGCTTCAAGTTTTCATGTGGAAGTTTTACCATCATTTTCGTATAATGTTCCTAATACGGATAAAGTTTCGACTTCATTTCCGTTTCGAATTTTCTCAATTTTCAGCATGAGCATAATGTACTCTGGGGTTATTCAAAAGGACCCCGCAAATTTTCAAGGTAATTTGGGTCCCGGTGGATTTTTCTCAATTTTTGGTATGATGTAGTTCATTTGATTCAATTACATATTGACATTGCGCCAACCCCCAAAAATGAACTGTTTTTTTGCTAGGGGGGGTTGAATTCACATTTTGATCGAATTGATTATTTATTTCTGAGAGAATGAACAATATTCTAGAATTTTTTATTTCATCTAATTTCTCCTTTGAATATATGCTTTTTGAAAAATATATAGTGAGGGGGAATTATTACCCCAAACTCCCATTTTGAAAAACGAAAAAAAAGAGAATTCGCCTAACCATCAAAAGTGATAGAAAATGTTCCATTACCCAGAATTATGGAAACCGCCTTTTTGTATTATTGCCCCTCACCGAATGGGAGGCGCCCATGAAAAAATAGTTCGGTGGATTTCGCTGAATTTTTGATATGATGTACTCTATATGATACTGATCAGAAAATAATTGGGTGGCAATCCTGAAAAATGTACAGTTTTTCTGCTACAGGGGGTTCAATTCACATTTTGAACACATACATAGACTAGATGAGTACCTAATTGATTCTGAACTTCTTTTCAATATATCATCTCCATTCCCTATATTCCCTAACAATTATTCATCAAAAAATATTTTGAGGGGGGGTTCCTACCCCTTCAAAAAGTATTTTGAGAAATATAAAACAAAAAAAAACAGTGCTACTGTATCTAAAGAGCATAAGAGAATTAATCATAGCAAAAGCTCTCTTGCATGATTGCTCCCTCTCCACCAAGTGGGGGGTGCGCATGAAAAACATTTTTGGTGCATGGATTTCCACTGAATTTCTATGAGGTGCTTTTTGTGATTCCGATCAATTCCGATTCCGATCAATTCCGATTCCGATTATCGGTACCGGTTACTAAAAATGAGCAGTTTTTTCGGTAGGGCGTGTTGAACTCATATTTCTCATATGTGAGATAACTTCGAGAAGAATGTGTATTTTTCTCGATGGGTACAGAATATGTAATATGTATTTTAACTATTTTGTTTTTTCAACACAAAAAACTCATTATTTCGCCCACCCCAACACCTCTCAAACAAATAATAGATATCAAATTCAAGCTATTTTTTCATATATCCAACACTTATTTAAGAAATATTCTTCACTCAATGAACTTGATATAAATATTTCCTGTTTATTTCTATCGTTTTCATGAAATGGAAATCAAAATCTATGGTATAAGTTACTGTCGTTACCGCTTTTCAATATCAAACAGTCACCATCCCAGTCATTATTATTACTATCATTAAAAATCCCGTTAAAAACCATCATTTCAATTCTATCAATGGATGAGCAATTGTTTCAATCAGATAGGTATAGGTATCCTAGTAACTGTCAAACTGATTCATTGTTTTTTCGAATGAAATCAAATGGTTATTGACCTGAGTCTTTCAGCCAATGGGAGATATAATAAGTGAAAAGTTGTTCTTTTCAGATTTGAATTATCTCATTCTCAATCATCATCACAGCCATAATCACATGGAATACAACCACATTA